CGGGCCGGGCAGGGCAGGGCGGCCCGCTCGGGAGTGCGGACCCGGCAGCTGCTCCGGGTCGAGTCCGGCTGGGCCCAGCGCGGTGCCTCCGCTCCCGGGACCTGCCCCGGTGTGGGGCCGAGCTGGGGTTAGCGACCCGCTCCTGGAAACGTTCTCGACCCTGCTGGCCGCCTGCGGGGTTGTATTCGCCTCCCCCTCAAAACATCTTGGCAGTGGTTTCGTTGGCCGCCATTACGTCCCGATAAACGTGTTCCTGAAAATTTAATGTCGTTCGGGAGACTGTGAGCAACGGAAGCCGTTACTCCACGAGCCAACAAAAACCAATCTCACCCTTTCGCGTGTGGGCGTAGAGCACTAGTGGCATCGGGACCGCGCTGCGCGTCCACTCCGCTTGTGAACGACATACCTGTCAAACGCTCCATCATTTTAGCATTCAGATTTCCATAAAGGAGCACAGTTCGTTGGTCTAATCTTAACACACAAAAAACTATGACACGTGTATCATTAAATCGCCAAATAACTGAAGGCAAGCACGGTGATGATGAAGGAGATGTACTGGCCCACTCTTCTTCCTATTGCGATACAAGGTATCAGGGAAAAAAAAACTGTAAACAATAGCTTAAATGTTTAAAAGTCATGTAAAATTATTGTAAAAGCAGATGGCAGCCTATTGAAATCAGTGTGGATTTACACCTTGGAAATATTACTTGAGGACCAAAGGCATGATCCAAAACAAAAATTAGTGCTGAAAGCAGGATTCATGTATTTGAGAACCACCTACATAATCATCAAATAGACACCTCATTTTTTATCCTAAATGTCTCTATGGGCCTAACAGATGTGCTTTTTTGGAGCCACATTGGAAAGAAAAAAGGGGGAAAGAAGGGAAAACTTGACCTTGGCTACTGCAACCGTAAGAACTGCATGCTTTTGTCTGGAACCCAGAGCAGAAATCAGAGCCTGCATTACGTGCCCAGATGCTTTTATAGTTAATTGGGAGAGCTCATTCTTTCTGGACCACGCAGCACACACAGCAGGGAGGGAGGTAGAGCAAACTAAAGAAAAAGACTGGGTCCCCATTCCCAAGGAGCTCCTAGAAGAGAGAAAGCCCAGGAAAGCAGCAGTTGGGAAATACTGAAAATGCATTCACGCAGTGATGAAGCTGCAGTTGCCAATTGTAGGAGAAACAGAAAAGACCCTCCAGTTTCTTGGGCAATTACTTGTGACTTACTTTCTCCTACCACCTCTGTCAGGCATGCAGAGATTCACCAGAGAACACATAACTTCTGAATACAGACAGTATGACCACGTTTATGCACACATCCAGGAACGGCCTCTGCTCACTCTTCCAAGAACCAGCACTACTGCTGCTGATCAACTTTTGTAGGTACATAGACTGCATTAGCTGAAAGCGAGCAATGCCATCACTGGGATGATACTGCAAGTACTTCTATCTCCATTCTTTTTTAAAACAAGTTCAAGATTTCAAATAAGGAATTGGGCTTGTGAAAAATGAAGATGGAGAAAATAGCTATCATATTACAGCTACAGTTTTAAGGTAGAAAACAGGCAAACAAGCATTTCAAAAGAGGTCCTCAACAGATCAAACCTCACCTCAGATCCAGAACAGCTTAACAGTAACACTTGTACTCGGAGATACAAAGAAAGTGTAATTACAAAGCTGAAAAAATATGAACTCATCGAGAAGGAGTTAAATCACAAGAGACATGTAGAACACAATACCATCAACCATGAAAGAAATGATAGGTTACGTCAATAAAGTCTGAGGGGGAAAAGACAAGACTGTTGGGCATCATTTCAGAATACCATGGAGATGATGTCATGGCTCCCACGGACGTGACAGGAAGCAGACGAAGCTTCAGCCCTGAGAATTGAGGGTATAATCAGCAGCCGAGTGTCACGTACATACACAGTGTTCTGGGAAGTCACAGCTCGGCACCTCTGTCAGAAGCAGCAGCTAGTTTTGCCAGAGACTAGTACACAGGTCCTGAAATAGCACTGTTAGGTGGAAACCAATGGGCATAAAGACAAGGGAGCATCCGAGAGAAATCCTAAGAGGCATTTTGTTATCAAAAAGTACGTGTAAAGAGTAGCAGGGAAGAATGAGAAGAATTAGTGAAAGAAGGATGTAAATATGCAATAATGAAAGAAAAGGAAATAGCTGGCAGACAGATTTCTAATGTATGAGGAAAATGGGTTGAGAGAACTGTGATATAAACACAGCTTATACCTATAAGTGCAAGCCCAGACTTCGACTAGAAACTTTTACATTTTCTTGTCATTTTCCTTCGTCTCTTGAAAGCTAATTTCATTTTTGACTGTTCTTAGAAAATGCAAGCTTTGCCCCCCAAGAGAAAACAGAGCTGAAAGCTACCCAAAACACTGCTTTCAAAGTGACAAATGTGGCCAAGACATCTCCTATCCCCAGAGGCTTCACTCGGACACTGGCCGATGGAAGGGAAAATGCTTGTGAAACTTCAGAACTGAGCTCCGCCAGCTGCGCGGTGCCCAAGGGCTCTGTCTCGCCCTGCCTCCACAGACACTTTGGGTTAGAAATGCTGCTTTTGTCCAGAAATACCAACTTCAAGGCTTGAACTGGCAGCTGGTGGTTAGCACGGTCTTCAGCTCTTCTGGTGCTGTTGTAAGCTGCTTCAGTGCTGTATTACTGTTACAGTGTACTCAACACTTAAATCTAAGTGTAAAGCTATGTAGGAACTTACCCTCAAATCAAAATCATTTTAAATAATAATGTAGACGGTCTGTAATATAATGTGCATATATGTACGTTATACAGAGATTAACTCCAGAAACAATTCCTATAAATGTCCCAAGAAACAATCGCACATTCTTGCTGTTGTCACTATTTGCTCTTTTGACTTTATCAAGCCTTTTTCATAAAGAATAAAACCTTCCTTTTCCTCTGCAACAAGGCAATTTCTTCATGAGAAATGACTCAGTTTGGTTAAGTAGGCATGGAGGAGGGGAGAGAGTTATTAATGTTCGTTGTGGGGCTATGAACATGGGAGCCCAAGGACTTTTCTTGTCCTACAACTCCAGCAACACTGAGCAAAACCAAAAAGGGAGCAACTGCAAGCAGTCCTCGTTTCAGAAAGTCACTATGAAAAGCGATTTTCTGTAACCTCACAATCAGTTGCGAAACTAATTTTTTTTTAGACCCAGTGCATTTTCAACAAATCAGCAATAATATCTAGAATTCAGCTGACAGATAGTTAGGCAAAATTCTACAGGACCTCTGCAGAAGACAACAGCTCGTAAACTCCATTCCTTCAGTGCCTTTTCCTCAGATGCCTAGATAGTTCTTTTGCAGTCTCAGTAACTCCCTGTCTGTAGCTGCCTACCCCTACCTCCTTTTCCCCATCTCTTTCCTAATTGTCTGTAAGAAATCATCATGGGGTTGGCAACTTCCATCTTCCATAAACCACCAACAATTTTATGTTTCAAAATGCATATAGCTGGTGCCACGTGGAATGGAAACAGACATAGTTCATTGCATCACCAGCCCATCACTACAGCCAGACGGAGCTAGGTCCTGTTGTAGGAATCTGCCTTCTAAACTAGAGAAGCTTCTTATAAGAGACCTTTTTCACATCCTCTGACTGCTTTTCATTTCACTGTCTTTAAGAAGAACACAGTCTGTGCTCCTGCTGTGCTTGCCTGTCCTTGAACTCACCTCAACTTGCATCTAGGCCTCAAAATATCTTCTTTTATTCTGGAGCCCACTAGAATACCTTTTCCACAGATGCTAAAATGGAGCATTGTTGGTCACATGAACTTCCTTCCCTAATCTTGCAACACTGAAATTGTTCATTATACAGTAATAAAATCAAAAGAAAAGAAAAATAACAAGGCTGGTTTGTGGCAAGCCATGGCACAGAAGGAATTGTTAACAATTCACCAGCAGCAGTATTCCAAGAATTAAAAATAAATCATCAAGCAAGGTTCCTAAGTCCCTTACCTCAACAAAGCTCCTAAAGAATTTTCAAACAGATAATGAATTTGACATATAATAGCCAAAAGTCTATTTTATCTGGTTAAAAGTCAGTCATTCCCCATGTATTGTCAATAGTGGCAGTCATTAGTCATTTGTTATGAAGAACAAATTAATTCCTGTCCCATTCTATCCTAATTTGTCCCCTCAAATATCTTTCTAGTTTCATAAAATTTGCCCTCTCTTTGTGTTACAGAGGTAATTCCATAGCCCTGTGATTTCATTGCCTAGGTCAAGTGCATACAAACTATAAGATTAAACAGAAGTTTTTGCTTCATGGGGTTATATCACTGATCTAATTTATTATATTAAAGTAGTAACCCTGAGTTAAGCTTTGAGATTAGATTAGTAAAACACCTTTGAGTTAGTAAGTCATACTTAACTTTTCCAGTTATATTATTTACCTTGAGTAATTTCTAAAAAGAAAATACTGGTTTTGAATCATAAATTCAACACCTATCAGTATTTTACATGAGTCAGGGGTAGCTGAAAATAGAACTTTGTTATTATAGAATAGTACTACTAGAAATTAACATTTCAAAGTAATAGCTTAAAAATCCCTTTTCAGTCGTAGGAGAAAATGTTCTTCAGATATATTTTGTTTAGATGCTCGTGGCTGTTTTAATTGGACCTCAAGCCAATGAAATACTAGAAGTAAGCTAGAATTAAAAAAAAAGAAGTATGTATATTTTTTGCAGAAATGCATCAATATGAATGTAAAGGCCCATCTGGCAATAATATGGCATTAAAATGTGCATTGCATTGCCTGACTTACTATAAGTATATGAGCATTTAATAAGGGCCTTTTAAGTACTTCAGCCCTAATAAGAAATTTTCCATAGACATTTTATTTCCAAGGATCAGGCTAAATGTTACTGAAGTTCTACTCTTGCTGTCTGAAAACAGTTTCTCTTTGGTTGCTTCCCTTTAATTTATCCTCAACTTCAGTAAGAACATTTCTTTGAGTTGCCGCCCCAGTCTTGTTATTATGGGTGTGATCCAGCCTGTTGCCGAGACGTGCTGAGCGCTCCTCAGGGGTGCTGAGACCCCACTGATTTCAGTGGATGCTCAGCATCTTTCCCTTTTGGGTGCTGAGTCAATCCTTTGGGCTATAGTCATAGTTTCTTTCCCAAGCCACCCAATCAGAAATTACTTTGCTTCATTCACTCATTTATAATTATAGCTATAAACAGCCCATACGAGCAAAAGATTAATAGTGTTAGCAAGCATTTCCAGGGTATAATCAGCTGTCATCCCATAATTACTCAAAAGATTGAATGAGTGGCTTTGAAATTACAAGGAGAGTTACATTCCTTTACTGAGATGGAGCAGCAAGACATGAGTGCCCATGAAAAGCCGTGCTAAGCTTTTGTC